GAAGGGGGTGGCGCCGCAACCTCCCCATCAACGCTGCCTTGAGTGTGACAGGGGGCGGTGCCCCAACCCCCTTAATCGGCCCTACCCTGAGTGTGACTGAGGGTGGCATCGAACCTCCTGATCTGCCCTGCTCTGTGTATGACAGGGGGCGGCGCCTCAACTCCCCAATCGGCCTTGCTCTGAGCCTGACCAGGGGCTGCACCTAGGGATTGGGCCTGCCCTCTGCCGTCCGGGAGCAGGCCTAAGCCAGCAGGTTGTTATCTCCCGAGGGGTCCCAGAGTGCTAGAGGGCACAGGCCTGGCTGAGGGACCCCCCCTTCCCCCCGAGTGCACAAATTTTTGTGCACCAGGCCTCTAGTTTTATATAAGAGATTTGAACATCGGCAGTTTTTGGTATCTGCACGAGTTGGAGATCCTAGAACCAGTCTCTCGCAGATACTGAGAGACAACTGTAGTTAAGTTTGGGCAAACAAAAAATTATATGTGGATTTCTGACTGTGTGGGGTTAGGTGCCCATAACCTCCATATATTGCAAGGTCAACCAAACTGCCCAATGCAGGAGCTGCCATGATGCATACTGGCCATTTAAAAATAAACAGCACCACTGACCTGGTGCCAACAAATGAACATTAGGCTTCCCCCAGTGGGACACAGGCCTCGCCACCACTCTGGAGTGAAACCCCACCAAATCGCAGCCAACATTCCCTGGCGCAAAATGTAGCCCACAGCCCAGCCCAAAATGGTGGCTATGGATGCCCGATAATGACATCACATAGCAACGCCTGGTTTCCTTTCCCTAGCGACTAGCCTCCTTGGAGTTTGTTCAGCCCAGCATCCTGACTTGCTTTATAGCCAGGTACAAACATTTTACAGTTTAACCAAATGTTTGTGAAGCATTTCCCCATGCCTCATCTCATTTGATCTTCATAGAAGTCCTGGAGTAGAAGATAGGAGACTCAGTAGAATCCTACAATCTTTTCATTAGCAAGATGGGAATAGGAATATTAAAATATTTCTTCTAATTAATTTCCTTTTAATGTGCATGAATCCATGCACCAGGATACTAGTATGTTATATATTTATTTATCTCCTGTCTTCCCTCTAAAACAGTGGTTGCCAACCTTTTGGACCTCACAGACCACCCACTGGTGACCAATGCTCTAAAAGGGAATTTCAAGGAGATAGGAATTTTGGCTCCCTACTCTGTCTTCAGTGATAAAACAGTACTGGGTACATAGTAGTTACTAAATAAACAAAGATTGCTTAGGAATACAGAAATAGAAATAGGTAAAGCCATGAGGAGAGTTGGAAGTCTTAAATGACCTAATGAATAACATGAACTTTGTTCAATAGGCAATGAGAAGCCATTGAGCACTCCTGAGAAAGCAATGTGGTCAAAATTGTACTTTTAAATTACCCTGAATAAGAATATCAGAATGATGTCCTAATTGCTTACACACAGACATAATTAAGTTTGGTATAGTAGGCACACTGAAAATAAGGAAAGGCAGATGACTTGACACAGACTGATGAAGGGAATGTGAAAGAATGAAAACAACCCCTTCTCCATCATGTCTTAGACACAAGATATCTCTTGAAAAGTAAAGGAAAATCAAGCTGAAAAATTCTGGGGAAAAAATTTAGTTCTGTTGAGCGCAATGTGCGAGCAAGAACCAGATCTTATCTTCACACAAAATCTAGGGGCTCAAAAATACAGGTCTGGGAATCATTCAGAAAGGTTATAGGTGAAAAGAAGCTTTCCAAATATTATAAAATGAGGACTGTTAAAACAACACTGAAAAATACCTCTTTCAGGGGTAGGAAGAAGAAGTATTAAAAAAGACAAATAGAGACAACCAAGATGGTGGCATGGGTAAACACCTGAACTTGCCGCGCGCAACCACATTAAAACTACAACTAAAGACAAAACGAGTATCATCCAGAACCACGGGAAGGTTAGCTGAGTGGAAATTCTACAACTAGAAGGAAAGAGAAAAGCACATTGAGTCCGGTAGGAGGAGCAGAGGTGTGGAAGTATGGAGGTAGGGAGGTGAGTGCAAAAAGGGCTGGCAGCTGGGTACGCTCTCGTCTTTTTCAATCCGGAGGGAGATACAAGCTCCCGACTGCTCTGAACTCATTCCGGGCCAGAATCTGGGGACCGAGACTCACACAGAGAGAAACTGGACTGTCTGGCATTGGGCCAGAAGGGGAGGGCGACATTCTCACAGAGGTGGTTGCAGCGGTCCTTGTTCCTGCACGGAGCGGCAGGACACAGAGACCCAGGGACCTATTGGGAGAGGGCCGACAGGCAACCATTGCTTTTTGCTCTGCCCTGGTGATTCCCTGAGAACCCACCCCACCCAATTTACAAACCCACCCAAGCTGTGTGCAGAGGTTTTTGCATACGAATAGCCTGGCCTTTCTCTGCCTAAAAACTTGTCAAACTGCAGCTGGGTCAGAGAACCCCAGAGCTTCCAAAAGAAGGCCTAAGGCTCATCAGCAGCCTGCATGGCTTCACATAGGTACCTCATCTGGGCACCTCCAAACCCCAAACAAAGAGGAGGAATCTGCAGATCTCTCTGTAGCTCCTGCTGGGTAGCCTCAGGCAGTGACTAACTTTGCACCTCCTTGGAGATCCAGTGTACCCAGTGGTCAGTGTGAGAACATCCCAGATTACAACTACAAACTACTGGATATAGAGTTCAAAACCACAGTTTTAGGTTACTCAAGAATCTTCTAGAAACCTCTGAGAAATATAGTGAGACCGTCAAGGATATGAAAAAGGACCAATTAAAAATTAAGCATACACTGACTGAAATAAAGAATAATATACAGAGGTCCAACAGCAGACTAGAGGATCCCAAGAATCAAGTCAAATATTCTAAATATGAAGAAGCAAAAAACACGCAACCAGAAAAGCAAAAGGAAAAAAGAATACAAATATATGCAGATAGTGCAAGGAGCCTCTGGGACAACCTCAAGTGTATCAACATCCAAATTGTATCTATCTCTCCCTTCTCTTCCTCTCTGAAATCAATAAAAAATATATATATTTTTTAAAAAGTTAAGAAATCCATAGAAAATAGGAAGTGAGACAATAAAGTTAGGCTTAACAAAACTAAGCCTAAATTCATTGCCCAAATCACACAGCTTATAGTTTATAGTTATTTCGATTTAAAATCTGACTTGTATGTTTTTAACCATTAACTATACAGCTAATTAAATGAGACAATGACTAGAGAGGAGGTTAATGGAAGAAAAGTTGAATGGTTTTCATTACCTCCAAATCAGTAACATGTAAGCCAAGCTTGTCAAACTCTCAGCCCACCGGCCACCAATGAATATTTTTGAAGCCCAACCAATATAATGGTATGTAAGAAACATTTTAATAAAAATTTCATAAATTTTTACGATATCCTATTATATATAACTAGAGGTCTGTTGCACGAAAAGATTTATGCAATAGGCCTTCCCTTCTCCTGGCTCCTGGCACCGGGTTTCCTCCAGAACCCGGGACCCAGGCCTTTGCTCCAGCCGGAGCTGCCTTCAAGCCTTCACTGCTCTGGCCGGAGCCAGCTTCAGTCTTCGCTCCGCCACTTCGCGCCTATGTATGCAAATTAACCGCCATCTTTGTTGGCGGTTAATTTGCATATCTCGCTGATTACCCAATGGGAGGCATAGTGAAGGTACGGTCAATTACCATGTTTGTCTATTATTAGATAGGATTAATAACAAACTACAATGTTTGCTAATGACTGATTACTATAATCGTGTTGCATTCATTTCCCTTACCCTTCTTACACACAGGCGCACCATTTGTTTCCACTAATACTAGCAGCAAATATTTAGCAGCTGATTTCCATGTCTTGGACTGACTTGTTTGGTGTGTACAACAGGAAATATTTCACTTTCGGAGAACAAGAAAAATAGGTTTATTTGTCTTACATTTATTAATTTGTGCAGTTATTCAGTGTTGGGTGAGTTAATGTTCAAGAAAAAATATTAATTTTATTAAAATGTTCTATTATTTTCTGTTAATGATTACTCATTTATTTCAGCCCTTTGTATTCAGCATGTCTCTATCAAAATAAACCTATGTTCCTATAAATATTGAAGCTTTTGTTTTTGTGCGGCCCACATAAACTTAAACCTTATTTATTTGGCCCATGTTAGCCTTTGAGTTTGACATACCTGATGTAAGCAATGATCCTTATGCAGCTAGCATAAGATAACTAAACTGAGTTTGTACATGTAACATGTGCAGTATAGGGCTCAATAAATGTTAACTCTTTTTAGGTGGGAACATTGAGTCTACCCACTAATTTACACATGGAAAAAATTCAATCTAGCACTCCTAACTCCCTATAGGAGGAATTACAAGTTTTCTGACTGGTAAACTAAGTCCTTCCTCTCTACAGATCCACTCCCTTGCAGGAAAACATACTTTTATCTGCTCTCTAGCATGAAACAAGAAACCTGCCTTATACTGTCTCCGGCAGGACAGATAAATCCATTTAGTTCTGAGAAATGTTAACAAGCCATTTTGAGCACAGACTGAAGTCACATTATCGAATTGGTTTTATCAATATTAAACTTGGCACTTTGATCTCTAGCTGTCTGACCTTTACATCTTTTTTTTTATTATTATTAAAGAACAAACATTTATTTCCTGGGGTTTTGGAGGTTGAGAAGTCCAAGATAAAGGTGTTGGCAAACTTGGTGTCTGGTAAGAGCTACTTCCTGGGTCATAGATGGCTGTATTTCAGTTTTGTCTCTATGTAGTGGAAGAGGTAAGGGAGCTCGCTGGAGCCTGTTTAATAAACACACTCTACATCTATCTTTTAACTGGTTGTGTACTCTGCTGATAAACAGAAATATTGATACCCGTCAGGTACTCCACAGAATATTATTACTCTATTGTATAGTATTTATATTCAAATCTACTTAGAATGTAGTCTACATTTTAATAAACATGCACATTTCTTACCCTGATTAAAATCTGTGCCACATCAAAGTCTGAAACATCATCTAAAGTTGGAAAGGTATTTTCTGGTCCAAAAACAAGGCAGTTAAACAAAGTTTTAGAAAAAAAACCAGGTGAAGGACCACCATGAGCCAAAGAAATGGCAAGCATTTTGCCAGCTTCATAGTAATGATTCTCTTTCAGAGCTGTAAATAGATGGAAATACATTAAATACACTTCTATTATTATTATACATCATATATAATAAATACATCTATAATAAATTAAAAATAATCTAAGCATTAGATAAATTGGAAAATAACAATTCATAAAAGCTATAACGTGTAAAATATAGATCTCACCAAAAACACACAAAATTTCTTTTTTCTGAGTATAAAGTAATAACTTATTGTAGAAAAAAAATACAGAAACTCTTAAAAAAAAACCAAACACCTATAAACCCAAAATGCCTTGAGTTAACATTATTAATTACTTAAAAGTTTTTTTGAGTTTATAATTAAATTGTGGGTAGTATATATAGTACAAATGATCTTTGGTAGTTTCTCAGTTATTTCAATCATGCTTCAGGTAATAGTGAGGAAGTTCTAGAGAATATATAGGAAGGAATTCAAATGGACTGAAATGTCTTCTCACATTCAAATTTCCTATATTATAGCAAAAATGGTATAAAAGTTACTAAAAAAGAATGCTAGAATTAACCAGAGTTTTGAGATGCCCTTTTTAATCATATTAACTCCTCCCTAGAAATAAACACATAAAAGTATCATATACATAATTGTGTAAGAAAAATTCTTGAAAGCAAAAATACAGTTAAAAATCTGTTACATGTGGACCAGAAAATTATGTTATAAAATTCGTAGGTTGTGAAGAAACATGCCAACTGCAATTTCCAAATGTCTGAACACGAAGGGCTCCGATAATCATCCATCCCATTTGCCCACTCTATTCAAATAAAATTAGAATGAATATAAAATACATTTTTAAGAAGTTGCAGTTAATTATGGAATCATTATCAAGCAGGATATTGCTATAAAGAAATTAACATTCTTGCCAAAACTGGTTTGGCTCAGTGGATGGAGGGTCGGCCTGCGGACTGAAAGGTCCCAGGTTTGATTCCGGTCAAGGGCATGTACCTGGGTTGCGGGCACATCCCCAGTGGGGAGTGTGCAGGAGGCAGCTGGTCGATGTTTCTCTCTCATCGATGTTTCTAACTCTCTATCTCTCTCCTTTCCTCTCTGTAAAAAATCAATAAAATATATTTAAAAAAATAATTAAAAAGAAATTAACATTCTTAAAGAAAATATTTCACTACAAAATTTGCTTTTAAAACTATTACTGCCCCACCCTCATTTTTCTGTGATTCTATCAGTATTTTATTAACAAAGTAAATTATACATTTTTACCACATGTATTGAATATCAATTTTAACCAGCCATCTCTTCCTTTACACATGGTATATGCAGTATGTACAATAATAAATAATTACCTTGAGAATTTAGGGACAAGTTCTTTGACAAGGACCCTTCAAACAATGGTGAGTTCTCAAGATGTTGCATTAAAAGACTTAGGAATTCTTGCTTTGATCCAGGATGCTCTGTTCCAAAATTATCATTTTCATTAACATATGCAACTTCAATTGTGTATGAAGGATTAAACTTTTGATTTCTGAATCCATTTAAGGCACTATTCCAGATATCGGCTTTGTTGATATATAATCTTTTTGTTTTTTTAATAATTTGAAATCCTAGCTCTATAATTATTGTTGAAATGTCTCTCCTAAATTTGTTGCCTTGCCTATAAAACATGAATTTAAACATAGAGGTAAAGACTCTAAAATGCTTTAAGTGACAGAGCAATATACAGTTAAAAAGAAACAAAAAAAGATTAAAAATTCTTCCCATCTCTCACCCAAAAGCAGACAATGCTGCCACTGGAACCCAAAACAGTTATTTAATAACTTTATTTCAAAATTATTGATTCTCTTTCCCCAATATCCTACCAAATTAGAATAATCTAATGTCATAACTGATTTATGAGAATGTTCATAGATGATTATCTCAAATTTGATCAATTCAGTAGATTTAGGTATAAGAAAGAGTAAGAATCTCAAACTCTGACCTTTCTGGCCAATGACTACTACACACTTATTAAACTGTACCTTATTTCATATTTACTTGATCCTTCAAAAAAAATAAAGCAAACATAGTCTCTGCTTACTATACAAGATAACTATAGGTTTAAGAAATTACAATGTATTTTTAACCATAAAGTTAACAGTAGAACTAATATTATAAAGAGAATTTGCAACCCTGCCTCAGTTTTTCCATCTGTAATTGGTATTGATGTACTTAAAATGATCCTGTTTGGGGCAATGTCATTTTCATCTTTATACATTAAGTATAAATTTTTCCCATCCTAAGACATTATAATGTCCCAATGTGGGCCAGGTTTTGTTTTTTTCTTTCTTCACACAACCCCCTACCATATTCATTAACCCAGGTTGAATGAAATCAAAATCTTTTGGAAGATAATCCTTCAAAAATAAACTGTCTTGTTGCAAGTTGATTCCTTGCTCCTGTCTGAACTGGAAATGCTATGTTGTTCTTCTAAACATGATGGCATATTAGAGCAGGTGCAAGGACTCAAACTTCCGTGGCATAACATCTTTAGAAACCTAAACATTAAAATTAAAACTAACATGAACATCTTTTTTATACTAAAAATCCTATATAATAAAGAGGTAATATGCAAATTAACCATCACGCCCTTGCACAAGATGGCTGCCCCCATGTGGTCAAAGATGGCCACCACAAGATGGCCAGCGGGCTGGCAGGGGAGGGCAGTTGTGGGCAATCAGGCCAGCAGGGGAGGGCAGTTGTGGGCGATCAGGATGGCAGGGGAGGGCAGTTGTGGGCGATGAGGCCAGCAGGGGAGGGCAGTTAGGGGCAACCAGGCCTGTAGGGGAGGGTAGTTGGAGGTGACCAGGCCCTACATGGGAGGGCAGTTAGGAGCAACCAGGCCCAGCAGGGGAGCAGTTAGGGGCAACCAGGCCTGTAGGGGAGGGTAGTTGGAGGTGACCAGGCCCTACATGGGAGGGCAGTTAGGAGCAACCAGGCCCACAGGGATCAGGCCAAAACCACCAGTCGAACATCCCCCGAGGGGTCCCAGATTGGAGAGGGTGAAGGCTGGGCTGACAACACCCTCTCCCGCCCCCCCTCCCCCGCACAAATTTTGTGCACCGGGCCTCTAGTATAAAAATATTTGTAACAAATTTTCAGTTAATACACTGGAATTTTAAAACAGCAATTCTTCACTTCTTAAATAGCATCACTTCTATTTGCAAATCTAGTTATCAAATATTTTCACAAAAATTCTCTGTCCTTCTAAATTTTAACTTGGTATTATTTTTAATAAGAAAGTACTTCCTCATGCTTACCTACTAATATTACTTATGTCTATTTTTTCCCTATTGGCAACAACAAGGCTCTATGAACTTTCTTTTATTAAGCTATACATATACTGTATTTGCCGGCGTATAAGACGATTTTTTGGCCCTGAAAAATATGCCTCCAAGTCGGGGGTCGTCTTATACGCCGGGTACACTTCAGATAGACTGCCCATAGTGCTTGCCCCGTGCCATAGTGGCCTCCCGATGCCCGCCCACTTCATTCCACATACCGTTCAGGCATCAGCAGAGCTGCTGGGTGTATGCTCGGCTGTTATGCGATTTTGCTGTTATGCCATTTTACCACACTCGCAAAATCGCACACAGCCAACCATACACCCAGTATGGTATCGCGATTCGTGATTTTGCGCTATCATACTGGGTGTATGGTCGGCTGTGTGCGATTTTGCGAGGGTGGTAAAATCGAATAACAGCAAAATCGCATAACAGCCGCGCATACACACAGCCGCGCTGCTGATGCCTGAACGGAATGTGGAATGAAGCGG